CCATATTAAAAATAGAGGAATTGTAGCAGAAAGAGTTAAAACCCCTTGTCCAAGATTTCCAGATTTGGAAAACTGTGGAATGGGGAATAAAATCTAGGCTTAGCTAGTTATACAGTAAATGTCATGCCCTTTCTAGTTATTAATTTTTTAAGAGAATGTTTTTTCAAAATAAAAGCCATTTTTGCCGTAGAGTCAGAATACACATAGAGAGGACTGGGGGTCCCTGCAATGCTCTGCTTTATGATCTGGGTGGTGGTTACACTGAATGTTTCAGCGAGGTGTTCTCCCACCATTTGTGTGCTTTTCTGTGTAGGTTGTATGCTGTGAAGTGTTTACTTTAAAAAGTGTAGTTCATGCAGAACACAGCGAATGTGACAGACTGATAAGCACGGAGAGGAAATACATTCAAGTGTCTTTTGTGGCCACACAAATGTTAGGATTGTTTGTTTTATTGCTGTGAAAAATGTCACTGGGGTTTTGACAGAGATTGCGCTGAATCCGTGGATTGCTTTGGGTAGTGTGGACAATTTCATAATATTAATTCTTCCATTCCATGAGCACAGAATATTTTTCCATTTATTTGTGTCTTCTTCAATTCTTTCCTTAATATCTTGTAGTTTTTAGTATGTATATGTCTCGCCTTGGTTACATTTATCCCTGGGTATTTTATTTATTTATTTATTTTTTGGTTCAATTGAAAATGGATAGTTCTCTAAATTTCTCTTTTTTATAGAGAGTTCATTATTAGTGTACAGAAATGTAATAGATTTTTTTAAAAATATATTTTTATTGATTTTTTTATAGAGAGGAAGACAGAGGGATAGAGAGTTAGAAACATCGATGAGAGAGAATCATCGATCAGGCGGCCTCTTGCACACCCCCCACTGGGGATGTGCCCGCAACCAAGGTACATGCCCTTGACCAGAATTGAACCTGGGACCCTTCAGTCCACAGGCCGACGCTCTATCCACTGAGCCAAACTGGTTTTGGCAAATGTAATAGATTTTTGTTATTGATTTTGTATCCAGTAATATTCCTTAATTCATTTATTAGTTCTGTCTTTTGATGGAGCGTTCAGGGTTTTATATGTATACTATCATGTCGTCTGTAAACAGTGAGTTTCACTTCTTCCTTTCCAATTTGAATGCCTTTTCTTTCTTTTTCTTGCCTAATTGCTCTGGCTAGGACTTCCAATACTAGATTGAATAAATATAGCAACAATGGGCACCCTTATCTTGTTTCTGATCTCCACCATTCAGTAGAATGTTATTTTGGGGCTTGTCATATATATTCTTTATTATGTTGAGGTCTGTTCTCTTTATACCTGCTTTGCTATCATAAATGGATGTTGAATTTTGTCAAACAGATGATTATGATTTTTATCCTTCACTAGAGGCCTGGTGCACAAAAATTCATGCACTGGGGTGGGTGGGGCGGGGCATCCCCTCAGCCGGGTCTGTACCTTCTTGCAGTCTGGGAGCCCTTGGGGGATGTCTGACTGACAGCTTAGGCCCACCAGGAGTGGGCCTAACCCGCAGTCTGGCCTCCCTCTGTGGGAAGCGACTGGGGGGCCAATCAGGAGATGGGGCTGGCAAGTGGCAAGCTCCAACCCCCAGTGCCCCTCTGCCACTGCCCCGATTGCCATCCCCTCCCTCTGCCCACTGGCACCTGCCTTGGCTGGCCCTACCCCTCTCCCCTCACCCCCCATTCTGCTGTTTGGTCATTTTGCATATTAGGCTTTTATTATATAGTATTCTTAATGGGGTATATCACATTGGTTGCTTTGTGGATGTAGAACTGCCTTGCCTCCACGAATAAAACCCACTTGCTCAGTGTTTAATCTTTTTAATGTATTGTTTAATTTTACCTGTTAATATTTTGTTGAGGGTTTTTGCATCTATTTTCGTCAGGGATATTGGCCTCTCATGCTCTTTTCCTGTGGTGTCCTTGCCTAGTGTTGTCAGGGTGATGCTGACCTCCTAAAATGAGTTTGGAAGCGTTTCCTCCTTTTCTATGTTTTGGAAGAGTTTAAGGATTATTAATTTTTTGTTGAATGTTTGTTCAAATTCACCAGCAAAGCCATCTGGGCCTAGCCTTTCCTTTGTTTGAGAGGTTTCTGATTACTGATTCAATCTCCTTATGGTACTCTGCTCAGATTCTCTATTTCTTCATGATTCAGTCTTGGTAGGTTGCATGATTCTATAAATTTATCCATTTCTTCTAGGCTGTCCAATTTGACCTATAATTGTTCATAGTTTCTTACGACCTTTCGAATTTATGTGGTAATATCTCTTCTTTCATTTCTGATTTTTTTCTTTTTTCCTTTGTGAATCTAGATAAATGATTTATGGGTTCCTCAAAAGCTACCGTTTAGTTTAATTATATTTAATAGTGTGTTATGAATTTATTTAAATGAATTGTCAGATGTCTTTTATTAGAGAAAAATAGCTTTTAATGTTAAAAATCTCTAAAATAGCCCTAACACCTCTGGTTAATCAGGAGCCACAGATTCCAATCCCAAGAAAGAAGGGTAGGGCAGAGCTAGGACAGGGGACAGAGGTGCCTAACCAGTGGAGCTCAGTGGATAGAGTGTTGGCCTGTGGACTGAAGGGTCCCTGGATTTGATGCCGGTCAATGGCATGTACTTTGGTTGCAGGCACATCCCCAGTAGGGTGTGTGCAAGAGGCAGCTGATCAATGCCTCTCTCTCATCGATATTTCTAACTCTCTATCCCTCTCTGTAAAAAATTCAATAAAAATACATTTAAAAAAAATCCCTAAGATTACCTAAATCCTTCAAATAAAAAAAGATGCCATTGTTGCACTATTGGCCCCTTGGAACTGATGTTGGTCTGATAAGAGAAGAGGCCACGTTAGTGAAAAGGCCAGTGAAGGAGCAGTCAGGAATACTGGTTTCCAGTTTTGCCTGTGCCACTGAATAAAAACCTCATTGTAGACCAGTCTCAAACTTCTTTGAACTTCAGTTTCTTGAGCTGTAAAATGAGAGGCTTGGGCAGTATCTCAAAGGACACTTACAGCCAAAATAATTATGACACAGGGGATTTGGCCATGCACCACCCTTTTATTATCATAAAGAATGAATCAATGAAACAGAAACATTCAATACCGTAGGAGAACAGGGCTTGCCATTTTCATTTGCAGACACAATGTGTTTCCTGCCCTTTCCACAAGCAGCCATGGGAAGAGAAGCGAAAGGGGAGAGGGACAGGATGTCCTTCCTTGACATGTCACTCATCAGCCTATATCTTTACATATTTTTTTTCATGGCCATCGGATCTGGTATCTCAGAAGTCCACCCCACAAATCAGAAGAACTGCAAATAACTTGTTGTGAAGACTAAATAAGTGCTTAATTTTATTTGCACTTGTTATATACTTTAAAATTTTTATTAAATTATTATCTGTGAACATATCTTACCATTGTCCCCTCCACTCCCATACATGCCCTCCCTCCCCAGAGTTTTGTGTCCATTGGTTGTACTTAAGAGTCCTTCCATTGATCTATTATCTCCCCCAGATCTCCCCTCCCCTCCCCGCTGTCATTTGACAGTCTGCTTGTTGCTTTACTGTCTCTATATCTATCTTTTGGTTCATCAGTTTATTATCCATAAATGAGGTCATGTGGTGTTTCTTTCATTGACTGGCTCATTTCACTCAGCATGATGTTATATACTTTTTCAAACGTGTTCCTTTCAATATTGTGGTAGCCTGAGCTTACAGTGACAATTTCAGGGACTTCGGAGAAGGGTGACACTTGCACAGAAACAGCTGAAGGAACTCGGGTGTCCCCTCGGGAGAGGTGCCCGGGAACCGAGACAGGTCTAGGGAGCAGAAAGGGGCTTTGTTTTTTTCTCAGCTCGTGTCGCTTTAAGGCACCGGGAGACGGGTTATTTACTTGCCAACTTCCCTTTGATGGCAGGAAGTGTCACTTATCTTCCTATCCCCAGCCACAGATGTAACTGTGACAACCAAGCAGTGGTGGAATCGAATACAAACTGTGCGGGAATAAGGCGGGGAAAAGGAGACCGGAATACCATGGCCTCGGATATCTGAAACGCTTTAGAGATTTGACTGTAAGATTAACCACAAAGGGGAGGCGACTTCAGCGGAGCACCTTTTTCAGATGAGGTGTCAACAAAGCAACATAGGAGTACATAGGAGACGCGATCGATCAGAGCTCCCCCCCCATATATTTTATTGATTCCTTACCGAGAAGAGGGGAGAGAGAGACAGAGAGCTAGAAACATTGATGAGAGAGTCATCAATCAGCTGCCTCTTGCACACCCCCTACTGGGAATGTGCCCGCAGCCAACGTACTTGCCCTTGACCGGAATCGAACCCAGGACCTTCCAGTCCGCAGGCCGACGCTCTACCCACTGAGCCACACGGGTCAGGGCCAGAGCTCCTTTTCAGTGAAAACAGACCCCGCAACAGGCCTGAACCCCTGAGTGAAAAAGGGAGAAGCGACAGCGATGGGCAGATGGCAGGAGTGTCATCTAGGTCAGAGCAACACGAAGTCGAGGAAGCTCGCTTGGAGCTCGTTTCTTAGCGGAACTACCAGGAAGCCCCGAAAGAAGTGCCGCTCGGGCGGCTAGTTGGGCCTGATAACTTCCGTGTGCGCGTGTGGGTGTGGGTGTGGGTGTGGGTGTGCAACAGGGAGCGCCGCCGCGAACTTCCGCGTGCGAGGGAACCCCGCAGCGCCGCCGGGCTGCGCCCGCCCCGCCCACAGGAAACCCGTGCGCCCCGAGGGGAGCTGCCCTACCGCCGCCCCGGGCCGGAAGGGGGCGGGGCCGCGCAGGAAAGGGGCGGGGCCCCGCGCGCGCACGCACGCGCGCACGCACGCACTCCGCAGCCCTACAGGCCGCCTCCGCCGCCGAGCCACGCCCCCGCCGCCGGACTACATTTCCCAGCGTGCCGCGCGCCGCCCGCGCGCCGCCGTTGACCCATTTCCCGGCCCGTCCCGGCTCGGCCGGCCCCCGCGCCGAGGCGGCTGCTCCCTGCTGACTGGGGTGTGGGCGGGGAGCGGCGGAGGGGAGGAGGAGGCGCTGCTGCTGCCGCCGCCGCCGCCGCCGTTGCCTCCGCTGCTGGGCGCTGGGCAGCTAGCTCCCCGCTGGGCTTCTGCGGCTGCCATGGACGAGCAGGCGGGTCCCGGCGTTTTCTTCGGCAACAACCACCCGGGCGCCGGCGGCGGCGGGGCCAAGGGTCTCGGGCCTCTGGCCGAGGCGGCCGGCGACGGGGCGGCCGCGGCGGGGGCGGCCCGAGCCCAGTACAGCCTGCCGGGGATCCTGCACTTCCTGCAGCACGAGTGGGCCCGCTTCGAGGTGGAGAGAGCCCAGTGGGAGGTGGAGCGGGCGGAGCTGCAGGTAAAGACCCTCCCGGCCTGGCCCTCTTCATCCCGCCTCTCGGCTCCCCGTCGCCCCGCCCCGGACCCTTCCCCCTCCCCCTCCCCCTCCCTCTCTCCCTTCCTCCCTCCCTCCCTCCTGTGCCCTCTGGGTCCCCTCCTCCTCGCTCCCACCCTGCCACCAGAACGGCCCCCTTCCTCCCCCTTCCCCTTCGCCTTTGGCTGACCCCACTTCCGTGCCCCGGGTTCCCCCTGCCGCCCCGGTGCGTTGTTTACCCGCCCGCTGCCCTGCGCTCGCTCCTTCCTTCTCTCAACTCCGGCTCGTTCCAACTCCCTGGCCGGCCATCGCCCGTTCTTAGGGCTCCCCTTTCGGTCTCCTAAAATGGGGCTGCCAGTGGCTTTGAAGACGTCGAGCAAACGGTCCATCCTCTGTCCTGGGTCCGAGAGGCGTCCCCGCCGTGGGTACGGGCAGGAGGCTTCTCTCTGGGAGGTGAAGGGGAGCGGGGAAGACCGCACAAGTTCCCTCTGCGAGGCCTGGACTTTGGAGAGAAGCTGATGGAGGGGGAGGAGGGAGAAAGTGTTACTAGGAATACCCAGCTCTGTCTTTCCATATGTAAATGCTGCTGCTCCTCTCCTGCCCACTCCCTCCCCCCCTCCCGCGTCTCCTTTAGGGATTTCAGATGCATGGATTTTAAAGGAAGGAGGAGGACCTGGAGGGGGAGGATCGCAAGTCAGAGGGTGTGTAGTTCAGAGGTGGTTTCCTGGCCCCAGAATCTAAAACTTTCCCCAGGGTTCATGTGATGGCCCGTGTCCTGGGAGAGGTGACTTTTGGTTTAAAAAGGGACTACTAAAAGGGGGCTTTAAGGTTGGTTACGTTTCCTGCAGAATCTGCCAAATAAGAGTGTGTCTATCCAGGGAGGAGCAGCGTGTGGCCTCTCAGAAGCATGATACTTTGCAGGCCATTCTGAGTCCGTAAGTGGCTCTTAAAAACTTGCAAGCCAGACACCCAATTTCACAAGGAACGTAAAGAACGGCGCTCTACTGGCCGGCCCTGTGTGTTTATGACATTTGAGTAGAGTTTTGGTCGGTGAGACACTTGACGGTAAAATGCTACCCAGTGTGTCACTTTTTTTTTTTTTTTTGGTAACATGTATTTTTTTTTTTTTTATATTTAAAAAAGAAAAAGAAAAGAAGTCTGTTTAATAGGGTCTGTGCAGGAACAGGCTGCTCTGGCGTCCTGCAAGCGGAATGAAAGGAGCGAGTAGCCGAGTAGCCGGGTACAGCATGGGCTGGGCTTGCTGCTCGCTCTGTGACCTTTAGGAAATCCTTTAACCTCTCTGAACTCCCGCCTCATCACTTATTTATCCGGCACATTTATTGAGTGCCAGCTGTGTGCCTCTGGGGTTAACGAAACTGGCACGGCCTCTGCCCGCAGGGAGCTTACATTTTAGGCGGGAGGCGGTGAGGAAGGGCCTCTGGGACACTCTGACCCACAGTAGCAGCTGCCATGGGGAGGATAACCCGGGAGCAGGGAGAGGGGATGGGGCCGCTGTGGTAGGGGGAGCGGTTAGGGAGGCTCCCGGAGGAGCTGAGTGGAGGGAGGAAGCGACCCAGAGTTTCTAGGATTCCTTCTGGTTCTTGTATGTTTAAGCTCTTTGGTGGCTTTTTCATCCCGACTGGTAATGCTGCTTTCGTATCTGGCCTTTGGACATTTGTAAGTTTTCTTATCACGAATCTGACCTTGTCTGTACAGTAAACAGCAGACTTAGATGCTTCACTCAAATTTACTGGTCATTCACCTTTATTAGCAGTGAATCCCATAAATGAGCTTATGGGTTTCAGACTTCAGGGAAGTGTTAGGGGCAGGCTTTAGCTTTGACGTTGTGCTGTTGTGGAGATGGATGTTTATATGGGGCCGCTTAAATTTTAATTTCTTTTCCAGGGTAGGGAATGCAAGATACGTCACACTGATTGGGTAAAAGACAAGAAAACAATTCTTACTGCTTGTGGAACTTTGGGAATTTTCCACCCACTGCACCCCCTGTGCCTCCCCGCACCTCACTGTGTTTAAACTTTTTAATTTTACCTGTAACTGTAGCCACTCTTCAGTTTTATACCCACAAACACAACTTCCTGGGTTATTAATGGCAAATGTTAAACTTAAGGTAGGTTTCCCATTGGCGCTCATTTTATTAAGGACACTGCATTTTTACAGTACCTTTTGGTTTGTTCTCAAATTAAGCATCCACAGAGAAACTTAAAAAAAAATTGTATTTTCCAAACAGAGCATACAAGTATTTTGTATTTTTTTGGGATAGAGTTTGCAGGAACCTGTGGTCTTTGGCCCCTTTATTAGCATTACTGAAAAAATACTTTTTAAGTCATTTATTTTTTATTATTGAAAGTATTAGAGATGGCTGAAACCGGTTTGGCTCAATGGATAGAGCGTGGGTCTGCGGACTGAAAGGTTCCAGGTTCCATTCTGGTCAAGGGCATGTACATTGGTTGCGGGCACATCCCCAGGAGGGGGTGTGCAGGAGGCAGCTGGTCGATGTTTCTCTCTCATTGATGTTTCTACTGTAGCTCTCTATCCCTCTCTCTTCCTCTCTGTAAAAAATCAATAAAATATATTTTTAAAAAAAGTATTACAGTTGTTTCCCATTCCCCCCATTTGCCAAATCATTTCTTTACAACATCAACATCATTAAATTTGAATGTATCCCTTCATTTTTCTGTTGCCATTGGAATTTTCCTAGAAAAACAGTAGGAAGTAAGAATTGAATGATGATGAAATTTGGATTACTTGATGTCTTCCTTTTAATTTTTAAATCTTTTCTCAAGTCTTTAACACCAGTCAACAAAATACCTTTAAGGTGAACTTCAGGAACCTGTTAGTCCTGCTCTTTTAAATTGCCAGGGCGGAATTGTGAAAGGCAATCCGAGCTCCCACCTCTCTACCTGGCCTGCCTCCGTCACTTCCTCCTCCCTCAGATCTGCAGAGTGAGGAACTGACCACATTGTACCAAGAGCGTATTGTCATTGTGTCCCCCTTGCCCATGTTAATGTATGATTCTCTTTTACTTTGGTAATGCCGCTCACCGCACCATGTAGAGGAGAATAGGTAATTCTTGGAAAAGAATGGCCAAAATTATTACTGAGCTTTAATATTTGTGAAAGGAATTGAAAATGGGGTACATAACATTTGAAAGAATTTTCTGGGTGAGACAGATTGAACCAGATTGATTACCTCAAAGAAACTTGCAGTCTGGTTGGAGTGATAGAACAATCAGTGTTGATCACTTGAGGGATTTACATTTTCTTAGAGTAGCTCAGAAGAGCCTAGCAGTGAGCGGAGTGAATAGCAGGAAAAAGAACTTTATGAGGTAATGAGAACCTAAGGCTCAGTTTCGAAAATTACTGACTTATGGGAAGACAAATGTAAATGAAAAATAAAAGTTATTGCCTTTGTTGTGTGTGTGTAGTTAGGAGGCCGTGCTGTTAACCTGGAAATGCCAGAACTGAGAAAAGGCCAAGCTACCACTAGTTCTATGGTTGCTGATACTAGAGTGTTTATGAATTCAAGTTTTGGCATTGATGATTCATATTTTCACTCAGTAGATGTTTTTCAAGTGCCTACTTCCTGCCAGGTCCTGTTCTAGGCACTGGAGAAACAACAACGATGAAAACAGATCCTACTCACATAAAGCGTAAATTGTGCGGGAAGACCGAGTATTAAAGAAAGGCACCCTGAGAACATTGAGTGGTAATGAGAGCTGTGAGGAACTGTGAAGTGGGATGTGGAGTGCTTGGAGGGTGGAATGGGGAAGAGAGGCTGTCCTGATAAGGAGCCGTTTGGACAGAGACCTGAAAAGGTGAAATCCTAGGAGAGTGTTCCCGGCAGAGGGAGCAGGAGGGGGAAGGACACCGTTGGGATGTTTGAGGAATAATGAGGCAGGTGCGGGTGGATACTGGAGGAGCCGAGAAGAAATGATGTCAGTAGTACTGAGTCTTGCCTATGGTAAGGACTTTAGATTTTTACCCCTACAAGGTGGGGAACTGTTGGAATGTATTGAACAAAAGAGTGATGGTGTCTTTAACCAGAACCCTTTGCCAAGGATTCAGAATGGCCTGGAGGGGAGATGAGGATAGAAAAACCAGAGTCTAGTTAGGAGGCTCTTTGAAAAATCCAGGCTGCAGATGAACGACGAAAGTGGAGTAATGAGATCTGGATTATATATTTTGAAACATGTTCAAAAAATATAATGGATTTTGAATATATTTTTGGAGGTACAATCAGCAAGATGTGATAGAGATTGGAGACAAAGGGGAGTGGAAGATGGAGAGAAAGGCAGAGAAATGCTGATGTGAGAGAAACACGTAGGTTGGTTGCCTCCTGCACACTCCCGACCAGGGCCTGGCTTGAGGAGGAGCCTACAACCAACATGCCGCCCTGGATCTGAATGGACGGGGCGCTTTGGTCCGCATGCCAACACTCTGTCCCATGAGCCAGTCCGCGAGGGCTGCCTTGTGAGAGTTAAATGAGATGCTAAGGCATCTAGCAGAGGCCTGGTACGTAAGGCAAAGTAACTGCCCAGTGTGAAAGTCGTGCATCTCCTAGTTCCCACAGAAAAGCAGAATCTTCAGTTACGAACTCTTCTAAGGCTGTAAGTGCCATTCCGGAACCACGCAGTTTAATATGCTGGGTCTGGTAGTGGCACTAAGGGACAGTCAGTAGGAATCAGCCTCAACGTTTTGATAATAGGACTTCTTTCCCAGGCCAGGGCCTCCCAGGCCAGGTCCGCCGGCCCATCCTCTTAAACCCCTCCGCCCCCAACATCGGCAATATCCTTCGCGTGTACTTTACTTGGTAACACACTGTGTGTCTTCTACCTTGAATTTTCTATAAACATTTCAGAATGTGTTTACCTTAATCATGCATGGCTTCTTAGGTAACAAATTGCATATATTTACCAACCACTTCATAAAACTAATTTCTTTATTTTATTTGGACCTTTAAACTTG